AACTCTTCCATTTGTGGAAAGTCTGTCTGAATCTGAGTTGCACTTTTCTTCTGTTAGGCAATAATAATGGCCTTGGCCCGCATTGTCCATGAGGACAACTCGTTAGAACCAGAGTACTTCATTGGAGAGAGTTGTTCAGCAGAAGTTCTCCTTGTCTGCAGAGGCAGAAAAAAAGCATTGAAAATCATTAACAGACATCACCTGTTTGTTATGCTTATAGAGCATGCTATGAACACCAACATTGTAACCTGTCCAGTTTCTCAACAGAAGGGCTCCACTTGCTGGTACCTGCCACAACCTCAAAGTGCAGCCTACCTGTAGTCACTGAGGGAGAACAAAGGCCATCTGTTAGGGGTGAAGATCAGATACCAGATGGAGAAGAGTAAAACTGCTTTCTACTTGGAGTTGGAACTTAAAGCCTCTCTGACTTTTATAAGGTCTCAGAGCTGTTACTGATAGGGCAGCCATCAATCTTGGGCTTAACTAGCTTGCGACAACAGAAGCTCTAGAGCAGGGGTGCACAACTCTGGTCCTGGAGGGCCAGTGTCCAGCAAAGTTTGACTTACCTGCTCAAACACACCAGTCAACTCGTCTGTTATTTGCCAGGTTTACTGGGTGTGTTTGAGTAGGGAAATGAGCAAACTGTGCTGGACGCCAGGAGTTGTGCACCATGTTCTAAACACTATCCTAGATACTATCAACGTTTAATGACAAGATTTCTCCGGAGTTTGTTTTGTTTAACAGACCCTTTTTACACTTCATTATTCAAGGCAGTGGGGATCATCATAGTAGGGAAAACATTTGCTGCTGTCAGAAAAACTCATTTCTCCATTTTTCATGTTTTTTTTTTTTTTTCAGAATTTGAAAATGCCAGCTGACCTTTACAATGTGCCAAAATTTTATGATGAACAGACCAACAGAAAAGCTTCAAAAGTGTTCGGAAAAAGATCAAGTTCCTATAACTTCCATTTAAAGTTAAGAAAGTTTTTTCCTTCTCCTGAAAAGTTACCAATTCCTCTTCCTCTATAATGTCTTTGATGTAGAAGATTCACCTATTTTTATGTCTTTTTTAAGATTTTTACCTAATTTTTCCATGAAAGACGTGGAACACGTGGTATTTGGTGGAACAGTTTTCATTTTCAGAGCGCAAGCTTGCCAAGAGCTACAGCCTTATCTTTCAGAAGGATCTCATGCTACGTTAGCCAACGTGGTCAGCTAAGGTTAACTTCTAATGTATATTAGAATTTAATGAATGTGGTGCAGGCTGGGACTAAAATTAACATACTGAGTTATGCCTCACTACTTTGGTCATATCATGTGATTCAACTGTCGTTCAGCTTTTTACTTTCTTTTAATTAGTACTGCTCATCCATCCAGTGCCTTAGCAGCAGCGTCAGTATCTACTTTTAATGTAGCTCATCAAGCTTGCTCTGTGAAGATGAAGTGCTCCACCAAATGAATGATGTCTTTTGTTGAAAAATAGATAAAAAAGGACAAAAAAAAAACCTCATCATATATCAGAGACAGTGCAAAGGTAAACTTTGTTAGCATTCCCATTCGTAAATGCCACCACTACTGTAATGTTTTCTCTACTGTGATGACGCCTGCTGTGTTGAACCCAGAAGTGTGAAAAGGGTCTGTCGACGGTCTATTGAAGTTGGTGACCAGCGTGCACTGTCGATTCACTGAATATGCTTTTTCAGACAGATTTGCTAGATCGTCTCAGAGTTACAAACCTAAATTAGTTATACCTCCTTGTACAAATCAGGTCTTAAGGCTGCCAGCATTTAATGCTCCTGTTGGCTCAAATGCTTAGGGCTCTGTATTGTTATATAACCAGCATTCAAATGTTATATAAATGGAATTAGCTCTTTGCCTGTCTCACATAGTCAGGGAAAAGCTCTTTCAAGATTGTCTCATTGGATTGTGGATGCAATTTCCGCTGCTCACAGGTGGGGTCCATGTCCAATACACTGAGGGAATAGCAGCATCATAGGCCTTGCAAAAGGCCTGTCCATTACAGACATCTGCGCAGCTGATTTTAGTTTTACAGCCACATTATAAGATGCTTATTTTATATCTTATACTAAGAAATTAGCCATTTTGTGAAAACACATAGGTCAGGGAAATTTACTTCATTCCATTAAGCAATGTTTCATTGGGGTTAAATGATGCAAAAAAGGGAAATGAGAAATGAGGGTTTTAAAACTTCTTTTTTCACTTGAGGAAATATTAGTTCTCCTAGGGCTCTTTTGCCTGTGGGTGTACTCTTCACACTGGGGCGGTATAACATTCGTGTGGTAGCTGGTGCTCGTTGCTTACTAAAGGGAATAATAGGTTACTCATATTATAACATACTGTAGCTGTTGGAACAAAACCTCTTCAAAATCTCCAAAAAAGTAACATTACAGGAGAAGTAAAGAATTCCATTAACTTTCAATGTTTATAAAGGTAACAAGATTTGATTCCAAGTAATTTTGGACCACTTTTCTGTTGGTCTATTTATCATAAATATTGTTTAATGTTTTCAAATTTTGTGAAAAATGTAGAAAATACATGTCTATCTATCTATCTTATCTATCTACATGTATATAATAAAAACAAAATGCAATGATGTGCAAATTATCTCAACTCTATATTTCATTGAAAGTACAAAGATGACAAATCAAAAGTTGAAACTGAAAAAATTGTATTGTTTTTTGAAAAATATATGCCCATTTTGAATTTGATGCCAACAACACATTCCAAAAGGTTGGGACGGGGCAACGAAAGGCTGGTAAAGTTGTGTAATGCTAAAAAAACACCTGGTGGTTAATTGGCAACAGGTCAATAACATGTTTGGTTATGAAAAAGTATCCCAGAGAGGCTGAGGCTTTCAGAAGTAAAGATGAGGAGGGGTTCATCACTCTGTGAAAGACTGCACCAGCAAATTTAAAAAAGTGCAACAATTCAAGAATAACATTTCTCAATGCAAAATAGCAATTTTCATCATCTACAGTACATAATATCATTAAAAGATTCTGAGAATCTGGAGAAATCTCTGTATGCAAGGGACAAGGCCAAAAACCAGCATATGCTGGCCGTGATCTTTGGGCCCTCAGGTGGCACTGCATTAAAAACAGACATGATTCTGTAGTAGAAATCACTGCATGGGCTCAGAAACACTTCTGAAAAACACTGTCTATGAAAACAGTTCATTGCTGCATCCACAAATACAAGTTAATCCAAAACACAAAGAAGAAACTGCATATAAACAGGATCCAGAAATGCTGCCACCTTCTCTGGGCCCAAGATCATTTAAAATGGACTGAGGGGAAGTGGAAAAGTGTCAACATTTGAAATTTATTTTGGAAATCATCACTGTGTCTTCCGGGCTAGAGACCACTCAGCGTGTTATCAGTGCACAGTTCAAAAGCCAGTATTCATGATGATATAGAGGGCATTAGTGCTGCCATCCAGATGACGTCTTTTTCAGGGAAGGCGCAGCTTATTTCAGCAAGACAATGCTAAACCACATTCTGCCTGTATTACAGTAGCATTGCTCCGTATTAAGGAGTCTTTAATGCCTGCAGTCCAGATCTGTCACCCACTGATAACATTTGGCACATTATGAGTGAAAAATATGACGAAGGAGACCCCGAACTGTTGAGCAGCTGAAATCCTATATCAAACAAGAATGGGAAAACATTTCACTTTCAAAACTACAGCAGTGTCTCCCCAGTTTCCCAATGCTTACAGAGTGCTGTTAAAAGAGGAGGTGATGAAACACAGTGGTAAACATGCCCCTGTCCCAACTTTGTTGGCACATGTTGTTGGCATCAAATTCAAAATGGGCATATATTTTTCAAAAAACAATACAATTTCCCAGTTTCAACATTTGATATGTTGTCTTTGTAGTATTTTCCTTTAAATATATGGTTTACATGATTTGCACATCTTTGCATTCTATTTTTATTTACATTCTGCACAGCGTCCCAACTTTTTAGGAAATGGGGTTGTATGTCTGTCTATCTATCTATCTATCTATCTATCTCTCTGTATATATATATATATATATATATATGTAAATCACTGCTGTTGAAAGAAAACCTTGTATCTCCATTTTTGACAGTTTTTGGCATAATTTGAAAATACATGTTTACATTGTATGTAAATTTCATGATGAATGGACCAAAAAATAGAAAACAACTCGAAGTGACTTGGAAAGATGTCTGGTTCCATTGACTTACAGTAAAAGTAAAGTATGTTTTTTACTTTTTCTGTAAAGTTACCATTTTGGAGATATGATGTTTTCTTATAGAGAGAGAGAGAGAGAGAGAGAGAGAGAGAGAGAGAGAGAGACAGAGAGAGAGAGAGGGAGAGAGTGAACGGGAGGAGAGAGGAAGGGGGAGAGAGAGAGAGAGAGAGAGAGAGAGAGAAAGAGAGAGAGAGGGAGAAAGTAAGTGGGAGGAGGGAGGGAGGGAGGGAGAGAGAGAGAGAGAAAGGGAGAGATGCATAGATAGATAGGATCTCTTTTAGGAACAATAGCTATCCCTTTAAACCATCTTTAAAAGCATTTAAAAGAATTTAGAAATTTATATTTATTATTATTATTTAAGCGAGGTAGGTGTATTTCATAAACTGCTGTGATTGTGTGTGTGTGTATATATATATATATATATATATATATATATAGAGAGAGAGAGAGAGAGAGAGAGAGAGAGAGAGAGAGAGAGAGAGAGAGAGATCTCCTTTAGAAACAATAACTTTTATATTGACCCATCTTCAGAAGAATTTAACCTCATTCATTAAAATTGAGAAATTGGAAAACTTGCTCAAAAAGCAAAACCGTCTCATCTTGCAGCGCTTCTATGCTGATGTGTTTATAAAGCGCTTCACCCGTTTAAAGCGTCTGAACAGCCGTCCCTGCACAACCTGGACTACACGGCGGGCATCCACGGGAGAAAACGCGCCGCTGCCAGTGACGTAAGCGAATCGCACTTCATTCTTCAAGTTGCTGGGAAGCGAGCAAGCCGCGCTGCTGGACTGGGGAGCGGACTGTGGAGCGGTCACTGAGCGCATCAGGAAAGTCTGCCTTACACGGTAAGAACCGCAGTTCTGGGTTAAAAGCCCACTCGAGTCTGTTAGGTGACTTCATACTGATGCTTGGCTTTGGTTGAACCTTACTGAGAACCAAAGTAGCAGAACTGAGTTTCCTTTTGAGGGATTTATTGCTGACTGGGAGAATAAAGAGAGGAGCTGCTGACGGAGAAGCGGCTTTTGAATCAAATATGATTTAGTAGACTTTTTGACAGGTAAATAAACTGTAACTTCATTTGCTGGACAATTTTTTAATTTTTTTCAGGTCTCGTGATGCTCAGAACAACACTTCGCCGACCACACATCACCTCAGCTTCGAGGAAACATCTGCCAGACCGGAACGGCTGCTTATGAAGTAAACAAGTAAACATCTGGACGCAGTCAGAACATCAGTTTTGTTCTTCTCAGTATGGAGAACATTTCAAACCCCGTCAACATGAACCCACAGTGCAACTTCAGCATGGACTTCTACTACCACAGCTCTGCCAACCGGACTGATCTGAACTGCACGCCCCCCGAGGACTACTTCTTTTACGCAGACCTGTACGTGGTTCTCCCGGTCATTTACTCCGTGATCTGCGCCGTGGGTCTGACCGGCAACACGGCGGTCATTTATGTCATCCTGAAAGCGCCTAAAATGAAGACGGTCACCAACATGTTCATCTTGAACTTGGCCATCGCGGATGACCTCTTCACGCTAGTTTTGCCCATCAACATCGCCGAGCACCTTCTGCACTACTGGCCCTTTGGCGAAGTGCTCTGCAAGATCATCCTGAGCATTGACCACTACAACATCTTCTCCAGCATATATTTTCTGACCGTGATGAGCGTTGACCGCTACCTGGTGGTGCTGGCCACGGTGCGCTCCAAGCGCATGCCCTACCGCACGTACAGGGCGGCCAAGATAGTCAGCCTGTGCGTTTGGGTGCTGGTCATCCTCATCGTGGTGCCCTTCACGGTGTTCGCGGGAGTGTACGTCAGCCCGGACGACTCCGAGCGGAAGAGCTGCGTGCTGAGCTTCCCCAGCCCAGAGGGCTCGTGGTTCAAAGCGAGCCGGATTTATACGCTCATACTGGGCTTTGCCATCCCCGTGTCCACCATCTGCATCCTCTACACCATGATGCTCTACAAGCTGCGCAACATGAGACTCAACACCAACGCCAAGGCGCTGGACAAAGCTAAAAAGAGAGTGACCGTGATGGTGTTCATCGTCCTGGCCGTGTGCTTGTTCTGCTGGACCCCCTTCCACCTCAGCACCATCGTGGCGCTGACCACGGATCTGAGAAGCACGCCGCTCGTCATCGGGATCTCGTACTTCATCACCAGCTTGAGCTACGCCAACTCCTGCCTCAACCCGTTCCTCTACGCCTTCCTGGACGACAGCTTCAGGAAAGCGTTTAAGAAGATGCTAGAATGTAGGACTGCTTGAATGTAACGGACTCGGAACTGGTTCACAGTGGAACAACGTGGACAGCAGCTTCTACACGAGCCTAACGTGAGCTTTTGTCTCCCTCTTGTGTCAGTAAAGTGCACATCTCCTATGGATAGAAAGGTTTTTGTTCATTTGTTACTATTGAGTTATTCACTCTTGAAAATGAAGATGCCAAGAGTTCTGTGGATGCCATAAAAGGACCACCTTTGGTTCCCTAAGGCGGTTCTCAAAACCGGACCTCAGGGAACCAAAAGTCATTCTTTTACGGCATCATCACAAAAAAACCCTTTTGATTCCCTGAAGTGGTTCTCAAACCTGACCTTGGGGAGCCAAAAGTCATTCTTTTATGGCATCACCCCAAAGAACGCTTTTGGTTCCCTAAAATGGTGGTTCTCAAATCTGACCTTAGGGAAATAAAAGTTGTCCTTTTATGCTATCTCCCCAAAGAACCCTTTTGGTTCCCTTAAGCAGTGGTTTTCAAACCGGACCTCAGGCAAACAAAAGTTGTTCTTTTATGGCATCACCCCAAAGAACGCTTTTGGTTCCCTAAAATAGTGGTTCTCAAATCAGACCTCAGGGAACCAAAGGTTGTTGTTTTATGCAATCACCCCAAATAACCCTTTTTGTTCCCTAAAACAGTGGTTCTCCAACCAGACCTTAGGGAACCAAAATTCGTTCTTTTATAGCACCATTTCAAAGAACTCTTTTGGTTCCCCAAAGCTGTGGTTCTCAAACTGGACCGTGGGGAACCAAAAATCGTCCTAAAACAGTGGTTCTCCAACCAGACCTTAGGGAACCAAAAGTTGTTGTTTTATGCCATCACCCCAAAGAACCCATTTGCTTCCCTAAAGCGGTGGTTCTCAAACCAGACCTCAGTCCACAAAAATGTTCCCCCCTAGACCACTGCTCTAGGGTACCAAAAGTGGCAAACTCCAAAGAGCCCTAAAGAACCTTTAGTGGATGTGATGTGCGAATGCAAAGTATAGTTCTTTAAAGAACCAAGTGCAAATGTGAAGATCCTTTTCAAAGCTGAAGGAACCTCCAGTCTCACCTTACTTGAATAGTCCACTGTAGTCTCTATAGATTATCTACAGATGTTTAAACTGTTAACAGACTATCTGTTGAAACTCAGTTGATTCTCAACAGTGGTGGGGTTAGGGTTAGGATTTGGACCAGGGAGAGGGTTGGGTGTAGGTTTTGGGCTGAGGTTAAGGTTAGGATTGGAGCCAGGTTTAGAGTTAAAGGCAATTACAGTCAATTTAGTAGATATTTAGTTGAATGTAAAATGAAAGTAAATAGTAAGTATCTACAAAGCACCTAAAGTGGACTATCCAAAAAGAGCGTTACCCCTCCATATAACACATTCATTGAATCAGAAGTGATTCTCTTATGGCATCTCATCTTTTTTGGCACCTTATTTTTCTAAGAGTGAAGCTCCTCAAATGATTGCATCATCATGATTAAATAACGTCAATATCTGAACATGTACGCAACCGTCAGTGTCCTTCTGTTTATTAGACAACCAGAGATCTTCAGCTGTGTATATAATGTACAGGCCTGCTTTTGTCACAGAACATCGTCATTTGCTTCAGAGTGTCTAATGGAAAAAAAAACAAAAAAACTGAGACCAGTTGATGTTGCAGCTACATGGACAAACAAGCGTTCCCCTCGCCTTATGGGAATGAATACAATGTATAAGAGAACCGTCTTTATCGAAATACTTGAAAATGCTGGAATGCTGAGTAAGCTTTACTTGCCAGTCATGGTAACAGAAGGACAATGTTGTGCAAAGGAGTCTCCCACTGAGGTGCACGAATACATGGCTTTGAATCTTTATGTTGTAAATAAAATGGATTAAACCATGAGGTTTTGTTTTGTTTTACTAAGCCAATAATGGTTCGAAAAAATTCTAATCCATTTCAAAATCGTCTTATTTAAGGAATTTTTTCTTGATATCTTCATCAAAAATCAAACCTTCCTTTGGATTCCTTTATATTATATGCAACCAGCATAGAGCTGCTTATTTAGCCTTTAAAATAAAGGTACTTGGTTTGGAAGTATGTTTCTAGGAAATATTTGTAATGTTGTAGAACTTTATGTGGAGGTTCTTAAGGAGGTTCTACACACTCTCACATCACAAAACACAAGAAGGTTCTTCAACCCTTTAATGGCGAGAGCCCATCAGTGGGCCTAAAGATTTATTATGCACTTTTATGTAAGAGTAGCCCCACCAGTTTGCACTGAAGTCCCTGTAGTTACTGAGTAATAACCTATAATGTAATAAGCCTGAGATTTTAAGGGGTTAAAGAATCATCCATTGAAAAGTTCTTAAGGGAACCTAAAGTGGTTCTTCTATCAGGCTTTCTGGCTCCTTTGTTTTATGCCTTATACACAAGGGGTAATAAAGTAGGGCATTCAACAATTCAGCAATAACTCTAATAGCAATGAGTGTAATTCTTATAATGCATCAGAAGAAGTAATCAAAGCTTTTAATATCACTGAGTAGAATTTTCCTCCCTATCTTTAGCTCTGTGCTCTATTTTGTAAGTAGTAGCTACCAGCAATACACTGGTAACACACTGATTTCAGAGCTGTGGCCTTACTATACATTCCTTGACTATATTTACCCCACTCCCCACCCCTTATTAAGAACAATATACATTCCAGAAGCGCCCCCCTGGGGTAAGAAGGCCCCCTGTTGAATGTCGTGGAAGGCATTTGTATTCTTAGTATTTTCTTTTCAAAATTGGTGTTATTAATCAAATTCAACACCAAAAATATTATATTTTAAAATTTACCTGAGATCCCTATCAATATATGTGTTAATGATTCCAATGAATTGTATTAAGCTATGACAAAAGACAAATGACAGTAAAATAGAAACACTTGAAATGTCAAAAATAGTTGTTATGATTATATCAATTGCTCAATGATTATATACATTCATTTGATGGCACTATTATTATTATTATTATTATTATTATTATTATTATTATTATTATTATTATCTAAACAAAACAATAGCATTCAATATTGCTAAATGTCTGGTTGGTATAGTGTAGTGGGTAACACCTCTGCCTACCTCCTTGTAGACTGGGGTTCGATCTCCTGTCTAGGTATGTACCCTATGCTACACCACTGAGAAGTCTTGGGCAAGACACCTAACACTACCTTCGTCTACCTGCGTAAAATGATCGACTTGTAAGTTGCTCAGGATAAGAGCGTCTACCGAAATGCCATAAAATTATAAAATCATTTCAAGCTCGCCAGTGAATCTCCAGTCAATGTTGTGTCTTTGCGATGAAAATCAAAGTAAATGTTTCTGGAGCAATTCAGTGAGGGGGAAACAAGTTTGCTGACACTTTTTTTTGACATTTTTGTTATAAATATACTTCCCGTGCATACATGCACTTCAACTTTACACACATAATGTCATTTTGTCTTTTTCTGAATATGAACTAAAAAGTATGTACTCATAAGCATAAACATAGGTTTTAAAAAGTGAAATTGACAGGGGAAAAAGGTATTCAGATGCCACATATTAATAATGTTACTACTTAGCTACAAAGTTGTTGTTGGCAAACCCAGCTTTGAGATGTCTACAGTAAACAGTAATTAGCTTTCTGCAGCATTGTGGTTCAGTTTTGATACGTTTCCCTTGGCAAACTATCTTCAGTTCCCTAACTTCAAAGGTTTTCTCTAATGGAGTCAAAATCCTCCATAAATTTTCAATGGGATTCAAGTTGTATTCAAATAGATTGGCTGGACAATTGGTCAAACACAAGGCCCGTGGCACAATCCTATCCGGCCTACATACATACATACATACATCATCTAAACCGCTTATCCTTCTGGGTCGCGTTGGGGTGCTGGAGCCTATCCCAGCTGCCATTGGGCGGAAGGCAGGATACACCCTGGACAGGTCGCCAGTCCATCGCATAGAAATTATTTTAGTTTTCTATTAATATTAGGCTGTTTTCCAATGCGCTGCACTACAGTCCCCAGCATACAGTACAATGTAATGTGCCCTTCCACCCCACTTCTGCCAACAACAATCTATAGGACAGCGCAATCCTACCACACCAGTCTTATCACCAAATACACTAGCTGTGATCCAGCAGGCCAACCAATATAAACACTTGGCTAGCTAAAGAAAATATGTAGATAGCTAAAAAATGACCAAAAGAAAAGTGAACAGTGAATGCAGAGGTTTTCAAGACAGGTGGGAGCTTGAATATTTTTTTTTTTTACTTCCAAAAAGGATAAAACCTATCTGTCTTGTTTGCCAGGATAATGTGGCTGATACTAAAAGAATACAACATTAGGCGCCATAATGATTTTGAACAAATAATGGCCAGTTCGGTACATAGCAAAATGTTATTTAGAATTAAATGAAAACATAGGCGTTCTCTGGCCCACAGATTTTATTGAGGGTTTTTTTATGGCCCTTTTAGTGTTTGAGTTGACACCCCTGGGCTAGACTATGCAAGTAACTGCATATTTTTTAGAAAGCACACTGTAAAAAAAAAAAAAAAATTCAATATTTTAATTTAAAAAAGAAAGTAACCCTCACTTAACTATAATACACAGATCATTGTTGTGTTAACTTACCATCAGATGTTCAATGAACTCTGTCAGGGCAACCAGGTTACTTTCTGAATCACTGAGTTATTTTGGCTGCATGTTTGGGGTCGTTGTCTTGTTTGAAATGTCCATCTCCTCCCCTTTCTTGGCCAATGAGATTAAATTCTCCTTTAATATCTTCCGGTACTTTGCTCCACTCATGTTTCCTTCAGTGACTTGTAATGCCCCGGGAGCAGCCCCATATCATAATGCTCTCACCTCTGTACTTCACTGTGGGTATGATGTTCTTGGGATCATATGTGAGTTCTATTTGTTTTATCTGACCAGAGTACATTGTTCCACATCAGTTCTGATTTGTCTAAATGCACATGTGCACATTTTAGATGCACATCTTTATTATCAGAAGGGTGTAGGAACGGAGATGAGCAGTTCATTGCTTACTGTTCTCTTTGGAACAGTTGGTGCTGCTGTTTCCAGGTCATATCAGCACA